GGGCTCCGGCCCCTGTCCCGGGCCTTGCCTGGCTGCGCGCCTCCCAGCTGGCCTCCGGCTTCCCGGCCTGGCTCCTCCCGCTTCGCTGGCCCCAGCCTGGACGGCCCCCCGCGGTCCTGCAGATGGACAAAGGTCCCGCCTGTGGGAGCGAATCGAATCACGAGAATCCCGCTCGCGAGCCTAAGGAAAGGGGTGGGGAGGGAGAAACTTCCTTCCTCCGCTGGTCAGAGGGGCGAACCCGCCCACCTTCCCCCTGCCCCGCCCCACAACTCAGGCCGCCCCTTGTCACTGGGACTCCAGATCCTTCAGGGGAGGCCCTGCTGTCCCCTGCGCGGCATCTGCCATGCAGGGGGAGGAGGCAGGTCGAATGTCCGCAGGGGTGGCCAACATCGAAGCCCTCAGGGCTCCCTTGGTGTGGGGCTGAGGCCCAGGTGACAAGGGGATGCCCTGCTCGAGGGCTGTTAACTGGCAAAGGAGGAAGCCTTCTGAGGCCGAGCCTCGGCTCTGGGCCCTTCCTTCTGGCAAAGTCCTACTGACCTTGCTGGCCCAGCCTGAAGATCTTCCCTGGACCCCAAAGCTGGGCCTCCAGTACTCTATTCCATGACGAATCCGTTGTTCCCTTATCCTGTCTTCCCCAAAGTCCACCGGCCCCTAGCTTCCAAGGGCAGAAGCCGTCTTCTCCACCTCCTCTGTTTCTGGGCTAGCTGGGGGGTGGAGGAGGGGAGTCGCAACTCCTGGGGGCCGGATTAGTTTCCTAATGCACTCACCTAGTGGCTTCAGCAAAGCAGAGGTGTTACCTTACAGGGCTGGAGGCCGGAGGGCAGAATGCTCCCCCTGGTTGAGGTCAGCGTGGGCAGGGCAGGGCAGGGCTGTGCCAAGCTCTCAGGGCAGAATCCCTCCCTGTAGTTTCCAGCTGCTGGAGGTGTTTGCTCCTCGGCCGCTGGGTGTGTTACTCTGGGTTCTGTTTCCCTTTCAAATTGCCTTCTCTTGGGACCAGCAGGTTGGCGTAATGGCTATGTCGCTGGACTCCCATGTAGCCAAATGCGGTTCAAATCCTAGACCTGGTGGCTTAAACTGACGCCAGGCGCATGTGCTTGCATGCCTAAGACCCCAGGAGGAGAATGGGGGAGAAGGGATTGTGGCGTGCCCATCCCCCCCGGCAGTGATTTCTCACTTTCTGTCTCTGTCTCTCTCTTTCTGGTGAGCACACGCACCCTATAGCAAAACCCTCCCCATAAATAAATAAATAAATAGATAGATAGACAAATAAATAAATAAATAAATAAACAAATAAATAAATAAATAAAATTGCCTTCTTTCTCCCTCTTATAAGGACCCACAGGCGTAATCCAGGATAATCCTCCCAACTATGAGTGTAGGTAACAAACCACAGTTGCCTCAGCATCAGCAGACCAGTAGCTGCCAGCAATCAAAATAACAGAGGCTTTGGGGCCAGCAGTTTCCTAGACCTTTATGTCGCTGGACTCCCATGTAGTCGACCGCAGTTCGAGTCCTGGACCCCGTGGCTTAAACTCACACTGGGCGTATGTGTGTGCGTGTCCAAGATCCCGAGAGGAGAATGGAGGAGAAGGGATTGTGATGTGGCCATCCCTCCTGGGGGCGGTTTCTCGCTCTCTCTCTCTGTCTTTCTGGCGAGCACATGTGCCCGATAGCAAAAAAAAAAATCTCTAAAAATATAACAGAGGCTTCCAAGCTGCAGTGCAGATGCCTCACATTACCACATATACTCGTCACTACTTCAGAATTGCTGTATAGTAGTTTTACAGTTTAATGTGCTAATAACCTCACATATTACGATTTTTAAAATAATTGAGAAGTATATTCAAGATAACTGATGTCCTTTGTAATACATGTCCTGTTTTTATTTTTAATTTTTTTTTCTTTTTGGAGAGGTTTTTGCTATAGGGCGCCTCTCTCCTTTCTGTAAGCTATACTAGTGTAATACCTGTTACTTACTCTGTGGATTCATTTAAAATGCCCCCCCCCACC